TATTAAGTGTCAATAGAGTTATGAACGTATTAGAACTCATTCAAACAGATATATGTGGATCGTTCCCTACGGCTTCTTTGAATGGTCAACAATATTTCATAACGTTTAAAAATGATTATTCAATATATAACTACATATATCTCATTTATGAAAAATCTCAGTCCTTAGATGTGTTCAAGAGTTTTAAAACAGAAGTGGAGAACGAATTCAACAAAATGATTGAGGTTATTAGATTTGACCGTGGTGGTAAATACTATGGTAAATCTGGTGAATTAGGTGAACAACATCCAGGACCGTTTGCTCGATTCCTAGGGGAATTGGCCGATATTCCTATTCCCTCAATTACTCTTAACAATGATCAATATTAGATTATTATACCTAACATTGTTCAAAAAGCAACTCCAGACTAAGACAATGTCATAGTATCTTTTGTTTTTATTTAGAAAATTGTTATTGAAGTACAAACTTCACACCTTTAAAAACTTATACCATTAAAAATATCTACTAAAGGGAGGAAAAATACAATTCTAGATGATTATATTGTATATCTCCAAGAACATGTGTTTGACATTAACACAGTGGAAGATGATCCTATTAACTTCCGTTAAACCCTGAAAAGTTCTAACTCTCCTTCCTCATACAGTGGCGGTCGACCGCTTCTTTTCTTTCTTATTTTTCTGCTTCATATATATATATATACGTCCTCAATATACATATATATTTTTTAATTTTTTGCATACATATATCTTTGATATTCATATATATATATATATTTCTAATCCTTATATATATACATATTGTAATGGCCTGTGAACTAGAAAGGAGATAAATTATGAATTTAGTACATAAGCGAAATAAATAGTTAGAGTTTACATTCCTTAAACAATAATTCAGATTACCTAATAGAGTTACGAGAATGACCATTTTAAATAATAACAAAAGATTAAAGAAATAAATGGAAAATAAATAACTGGGCATCCTATTCGCAACCCTCTTGCGGATCACGCTTTAAATCCTGGTTTTCTTAATATGAAATAGTTAATAAAAGAATGAGTTACACTAACTCAGTAAGAATATCATACTACTCACCGACACAAAAATGAAGATTGGTAGAAATAATCAAAACAACTAATGGAGCTCTTAATTTAAGCAAATTCGTTTGTCATAAATAAAATCATTTATCGCATACTTATCGTAACGAGATTTCCAAAAATAACCTATAGAATCAATAACATAATACATACCATAATTTTATACACAGTCGGTTGGAACAAAAAACTTCCCTTTTATCAGACTACTGGTATCCACAGGAGTCAATATGGATGTTCTCACTACGCGTGAACTCTTTTTTAACATTTTCAATTAATGGGCTATCCCCATACCCCATTCGGTATGAGTGTCAAAAGATATAATCTTTCAATACCGCATCCGGTATAAGGGTGAAATAGGCCGTCTCCATACCCCGTCCGATATAATCGTCAAATTACCAAACCTTGATACCCCGTCCAGTATGAGACAACGTTCACGGTAGGGTTCCTTATGTACCCGGTCTGTCCGCCATCTCTCAAAATATCCAGTAAGGTTGTCGTTCATCCATCCACTTAATCAAATAATTTTTCATTTACTTTTAGTCTTCAGTTTACTAATTCAACCGTAATGACATAAAACAAGCAATACATGCATAAAAGGAATACAATCGCATCATCATACTAATTATAGTGTATTATCATACATTTGAAAGCTGTAAAATCAGGCAATCGGTTAAATATAGTAAATAATAATAAATAACCGGTTCCAGCTCCATTAGTAGATTGTAATTAATTATGAATATTTTTTAAGTTTCACAAAATATTATATTATTTAAAATTAAATTTTAATTCCATAACAGAGAATAAGGTGAGGGATTCTTACTCAAATTAATGTCCAAAATGTTAACTTTTGACTGCGCCTACTGGCGGTCTCCGAGTTCCTTAAATTTTTTTTTGGGCATTAAAATGCACTTTAAGTACCTACAAATATCCTAAAAATCCAAAATCATTGTTAGGAGCATTTTTTGGCCAATTCTGGAATTCTGGCACGGCGCCTCCGCTGTGCTCTAGCGATGGCACCGCTGCCTGCAGTGGAGGTTTGCCTCGGGTTAGCTATTTTCAACCGTTTTCGGTCGAATTCTGTCGGTTTTATACTAATCCATGTGAGAAAACACGTTAAGGGATCTCAGTTGGCCGAAAAAAGTTAAAAAATCGAAGCTTACCTGCGGCGGGGTTCTCCAGTGCGACGGCTCCTCCGGCTGACCTTCGCGGTTGGGTGTTTTATTGCCAATATATAGAGAAAGGAATGATGATTATAATGGAGAAAAAATTATACGAAACGGGAATCGGAAAGGGCCTCATTAGAGACAAATTTTGTCTTTTCCCACGGTAGTGCTGCCGAACTTTTCCTGCAGTTTCTAACTCATCCGCTGGTTCTTTTGCTCTGATTTGGACATAGGAGTGTTTAAAATTGAATTTCGAGCAAATAAAGAAAATTTTACCTCTTTTGGCGGTCAGAAGTGGCTCCAGCGCGGTGGCGAGCGACTCCCTTCCTAGCGGCTCGCTCTTCTTCTCCGACGGGAGAGTCGACGGCTAAGGTTAGGGTTTGGTGTGAAGAGAGTTATTTATATCCGTCTTCTTTTAATCTAGACCATCCATCAGTTTGATCTGAATCGTCCGATCGCGATTAAATAGAGAGTGAATCTGAACCGTTCATCGCGTTTTGATCTGAGCTGTTCGATCGCGTTTAAATAGGAAGTAGATCTGGATCGTTCATCGCTTTAAACTTAACCGTCTGACCGTGTCTGAGGAGGGAACAGATTCGGACTATCCGTGCGCGTGGGAACAAATTTAGGTCGTGTAATCGCGGCACGCGGATCGCCAGCGTGGCCCCCCTTGCGTGGCACCGCGTCAGCGTGGTTTGCCACACGACGCGCTTCGGTTGTCGGAACGACTGACTGGACGCCTTACGTGGCACAATTTTTTTAAATTATATTTTGAGCCCCCAATTTCTAATTTTTCTTTTAAAAACACCCACATAACCCAAATTTTTACTCATTTTTTCCAAAATTATTTTCAATTTCATCATCCATTTAATTTTCTTCATTTTTACCTTAAATAAAAATTAAAAAACTATATTTATTCATTAATTTTAATTACAATTAAAATTAATTAGGGCATTACACATATATACATATATATATATATATTTGTTTTGCATATATTTCTGCATATATATATATGTGAATTCAGACAAATAAAAATAAAATCCAAAATCTAAAATTTCTAATTCAAAATCTAAAATTACAAAACAAAGTAAAACATTCTTAAAAATCCAATACGATAAATAATTATGATACCAATTGTTGAAATAAAAATTATTTTTAAATCTGTAGATTTGTAAAAATCAAACATATGATCTCGTACTGAATTAATGAGAAGTATAAACAGAAGCGTACCTGAATCTATCGCGGAAGAATTGTTTGCGTCCGGCGATAGGATTTTCTGAATCAACACAATGTCTAAAAATTAGTTTTTTCTTGTGATGGGATTTCAGAAAAAATAAAATGACAACTTTGTTAGTTGGGAACCATAACTATCTTTTATATCGACTAATTTTTGTAATTTTTATCATAAAATGAGAATATTATAAAAATAGTATTTGCACATTACAAACTCGTACTTAAACTCGAGGTATTAAGATCCAATATTGTTTAACAATAGTCGATCACTTTTAATCGAGCACATTAAATTGATAGTGTGATATGCATACCAAAACCCATATTAAGACTACGTGTTATAAAAAATCCAAGGCATAAAGAATAATGGTTTAGGGCAAAGATAGAGTAGATGTGCATGGTTTTTGAGTGAATTCACATGAACACTATTCGTAATTGACATGACTCCACATAGATTAAAATTACATATATCATGATTCATATGTTTTTCCGCTTCTAATAGCGTCATTGGGTAATAACGGAAAGAGGTTTTTATGTAAATATTTTAAAATTCACGATTGATTTAAACAAACAAGAAAAGAGGTTAGGGAAAGATTTAATATTTGTTATGAGTAAAAGGTTAAACTAATTTTTTTTTTTTTTTAATATAAATCAAATGTACACCTAATTTAATAACGTGTCAATAACTATACCACATAATAATTTCTTAATTTAATCATAAATAAATCCCCATCACACATTTACATAGTTTGAATTACGTTCTCTTTTTTTGGTTGTTGTTGTTGCGAGAATTGACGATAAATTCAATTGACTAAATCAATAATTAAAATATAAATTTGAATTTATAACAAAATCAACTATATAATATATATATATAACACACATGATTGAATAGTTTAAAATGTTAAGAGGAATTGATGGGAAACTATATAAGGACACGCATGTTGGTGATTGCAAAACTAGATAATCCTTGTTTGTGGAACGTAGCTTGCAACATCTTCCTAACTAATAATAACGTGCTTCTTCAAAATTCTAATACGGTCAGCCAAACCAAACGTGGCCTTGTTAAATTGCATTGACATTTGACTTTCCTTTGAACCTCATAAATCTACTTCCCATTGGGTATTTATATCATACACACACACACACAAAAAGGTTACAATTACAACCCTATATTGCGTGACATTCAAGATTCGATGATTAAGATTAAGAATTTTTAATTTTTAATTTTAAATTAATTACGTACGAAGAGCTACTTACCCTTTACCAGTTGATTCACAGACTCAGACGTATGTGTGTAGTAATATAAACCTACAAGCAATCCCACTCGGTTGTGTGGTTCTTAACGAGCGATGCATACAAAAAGATTAAAAGTAAAATTTGAAATACGGGATGAGAATTTTTTGGGATTAAAAAACGTAATTAGTGGGTGTGTCTTGTCAACTTATTATATTGATTCTCATGTTAATTTTCCCATAATTATTAATTAAACTATCTCTCTCTCTTATTTAAACCCAAATTTCGCTCTTCATTTTTCTCACAACCCATTTTAAGTAGAACAAAAGAACAGAGGGGAATCTGCTTTGCACAGACTCAACTCAGCTCCTCTTCTTCTTCTTCTTCTTCTTCTTCTTCTTCTTCTTCTTTCATATTGTAAAAATACCCAGAAGGGAATAATGATCGTGGAAGAAGAAGCAGAGAGGATGGAAGCCGGCGATCTCCGAAGGTCTCTGATAAACCAGAGAAAGCCGATTATAGACGACGACATTGTTAGTGACGAAACCTCCAAAGCCACTTTCGCTGTTTACCTCGGCGCCCTCGTCGCCGTCTGCGGCTCCTTCACATTCGGCTGTGCGGTATATGCTCTCTCTCTCTCTCTCTCTCTTTCTATATACATACATGTATATGTATGTACGTAGATACTATACATGTATATGTATATATGAATGTTGACGAAGAAGCTTGTTGGTCGGGTTTTTGAAGATGGGTTACTCGACGGCGGCGGAATCTGGGATCACGGAGGACTTGGGGCTCTCCGTTGCGGCTGTGAGTTTTTTTACTTACCATTCTTCTTCTTCTTCTTCATTTTTCTGTCTGTAACTTTTTTATCTTCAATTTTTGTTTTTTTTTTTAATTTTTTTAGTAATTATTGAAAAGTTACATTATCCCCTGCGTAATACGACGTCACTTTAGATAAGGAATCATCCCCCGGAAAAAGGAAGGAATTTCTTGCTTTACAAATTAATACAAAAGGAAGGGACCCACGAGTAATATAAAATTATTTTTTTTTTTTTTTTTACTTTTACGGAGCTTATTTATATATTAAATAAATAAATTAATTTAAAATTCGTCTTACGTTGTATTTATATAGTATTATACGTACGGATAAAGTCTTTTTTACTCATTTTTTTTTTAATTTTAATTCTTACTTTTTTTTAATAATTATTTCCTTAAATAATTATTTTGGTTCTTTAAATAGAAAGAAGATTAATTAATTAATTAATTACTTTGGTAATTATTTTTAACAGTTTTCGGTTTTTGGGTCAAGCTTGACACTTGGAGGAATGATGGGTGCAGTGTTTAGCGGCAAGATTGCTGATCTGATTGGTCGCAAACATGTTAAGTATTTCCGTTAATTACTTTCTTAATCCACTCGTTAATTAAATAATTAACTTATTTATTAATTTAATCTTTTACTTTAATTGTCAGTTATTAATTTATTATTTTTTGGAAACCAGACATTGTGGTTCACTCAAGCCTTCTCTTCTATTGGCTGGCTCTGCATTTGCTTTTCCAAGGTTCCATTCTTTACCACCTCACTCTCTCTTCGCTACATATGTATAATATAATATAATATATATATATATAAATATATGTATGTGTGTATGTATGTTGTAATTAAATTACTTAGCTTAATTCTCATATAATTAAATTAATTAATTATTGTTAATTAAAAAGGATGTATTGTGGCTGGATTTCGGGAGATTCTTCATGGGAATTGGAGTGGGTCTAATTAGCTACGTGGTAATTTATTTATTTATTTATTTTTATTTTTACTCCAATTATATTTTCGTTTTATTTAATTAATTAAATAAAATAATAATTTATATTAATTAATGGTGCCAAACAGGTACCAATTTACATTGCTGAAATAACACCCAAAGATATTCGAGGAGCACTTGTATTTTCCAATCAGGTAATTAATTATATATTCCACTAAATTAATTTATACTTATATAATTATATATTTATTTATTTGTAAATACAGTTGATGCAGAATTGCGGGTTTTCATTTGTATATTTGCTCGGAAACTTGGTTCGATGGCGGACGCTGGCACTGATATGTAATTCCACTTCATAATTAATTAGTTTAATACTCAATTAGAACATTGTTAATTAGCTTTAAAATTTTAATTAGTGTTTTAATTTTTCAGGTGTTATTCCTTGTGGGTTGCAATTTCTTGGCTTATTCCTAATTCAAGAATCTCCGAGATGGCTGGTCAGAGTCCATATCACCACATATATATATATATATGAAAAAGTCAAAATATTTATTAAAAAAATCGAATAAATTACAGTTTTTCGTCTAAAATCACTGTCAATTATTATTATTATTTTTATAAAAATAAATATGCAGGCAAAAGCTGGAAAAGAGAAGGAGTTCGAATCTGCTTTACAGAAGCTTGGAGGGAAAAATGCTGCTGATATTTCTCGAGAAGCAGAAGAGATTAGGGTTAATTTTCTTCTAAATATTAATTAACAAAATGATAATTATGTTTATCTTCTTAATTAATATCAATTATCTCTAATCTTGCAGGATATAATCGAAACATTGGAGATGATTCAGAACCGGAATCTTATATTTATTTCAAAGAAATATGCC